CCAAGGTTGTTGGTTAAAAAACCTCTAGAAAGTTGTAATACAGTATCTTCAAGAAGTGGAACTTGTTAAAATTATTGGTCTGGTGCAGAGTTTCAAGGGTCAACTTCCACTATAAAACTATTATCTTTGGGTTGGTTTGCTTCTCAATAATTAATAATAGGAGTATTTTCTATAGTTAGGTATATAGAAATATATTCAACTTGATTGTTATCATTATTGAATAAATTTTCTTGCTCTATATTAATAATAGTTTCTGGGGTAGAAGGGCGAATTTGTTCTTGTTTCTCAAATAGATAAGAAGGAGCTCTAAATAATACTAATTCGTTAATACTACCAGTATCTAAGTCTCAGTTAATTAAATCAGTAGAAGGAATTATAGGACTAAGAGTAGGAGTATGAAAGCCAGTTTCCAAATAATTAGTACTGTTTGAAGAAAAAGAGGACTTAGTAATTAGTATAGAAAAATAAATATTAGTTATCTTTATAGAAACTTCAAAAGATTGATAAAATTGTTGTTTAGTATCAGATTCAAAAATTGTAGTAGTATTAGATGAAAATATAGTAATTTGAATAGAGTGATTGATATGTTCTAATTGTTAAGAAGTTGATTCTAAATCCTCAAAATATTGAATATGCTGAATAGGTAAAGAGGAATGATTAGAGCGATCAATATATATATTGTAGTGATTTTAATCTGCTTTTTTAATCTGTAGAATATTAGTATACAAAGTAAAACGTTAAAATAAAATAGAAATTACAGGAAAGAAGCTAGTATATTATCGTTGTATTTGTAGCTAAAAATAATATTACATATAGCAGAGCGAGCAAGATCTTGTCTAATAGTATGTAAATTTTTAAAACTTTGCTTAGTAATTGAACTATAAAATATGACATTATAGGTTTTAGAATACCAATTCCAAAAATCATCAAAATCTAAAAGAGTAGCTAAACATCAAAGAGGATAGCACTATTTATATAATAAATCAGAAAAATAAGCTTGCAATACTTTAACACAGCAGCTGTTGAGTTAATATATTCGAGTTGGTGTAAGTTAATATTATTTTGATAAAACTTAGTAAGAGAATTTATTATAAGAATTAAATGAAATTATTTTTCAGAAATAATATTAGTAGTAAAAATAAAATAAAATAATAATTTGGCTAATAAATAAAATAAAATAATATGTATATAAAGAAAAAATAAAATAGTAACTAAACAAAATAAATGATGTCAAAACAGTTTAAACAATTCAATACAATGAATACAATTATAGCTATTTAATACAATAGGCTAGCAGACTTGCAAAAGTTAAAAGTATAAACTCTTCAAGCTTAAAATAAATAAAAATAATAATAATAAATCAATTAAAGAAGATTATACCAAACAAATTGCTTTCTTTTTAATAGCCAATCCTGCAATAAATTAATTAGTAATATATAATCCAAGATAAAGGGTTCTAGTAGCTTTAGTAGAATTTGCTATAATTCTATAGTTTTTTGCTAGAGTTTTTTCTTGATTATTTCTTTAAAAACAGTTGGAATTTCTTTTATAGTACTAGTTTTTAGTATTTCTGCCAGAAGGCACCAAAATGTTACAATGCTATAGTTTTCTTAGTACCAATATAGCATAGTAATAAGGTTATCCAGTGCAGTGATATACTTGATGAATATATATAGGGTAGAAGTGAAGAGTTAGAGTATTTTACTAGCAGGAGGCAAACAATTTGAGATAGTAACAGTATATAACTTTATTAAAATAACAAATGTTAATAAGTCTTGCCTATAGGAATTACCCTAGAGGGGGAATATTACATTTTACAAGAGAAAATAAAAGAAGTATCTAATGCTATAAGAGAGGTATGAACTCTAAACTAGGCAGAAGAGGCAAATACATCCTTTATACAGTATATTTTTTACATATCAAGCCAAGATAATAGAGGGAGTTGAAGATATTATAACATGTATTTGAGGGAGTTGAAAGCTATATTGAAGGAGTTAAGGGCTATGTTAAGGAAATAGAGAGAGTTGAGGGAGTTAAGGGTCATGTTGCAGAAGTTGAAGTACATGTTGAGGAAGTTGAAAGCTGTGTTATCTTTGATACTACCTTGTCTATCTTAGTTACAGTATGTGCTATAGTGGCTCTACTCTAATATTTTACTTAATAAAGTCTCTGTTAATACTTATGCCAATAATAATATATAATACAAATATAATAATAAATATCTGATATAAAATACAAGTTAATAAATATAAGCTAAATAATATAAAATATAAAATATAATTATATGCTACACTATACTAATCTATAAAAACTTGTTTTATAACAATATAGTAGAAAGTCTTTAGTTGCAGATATTTTTAAAGCTTCTAAGAAGTGTATTAAAATCCAAAACTTCTGTTGTTTTCTCTGTATTTTTCTTTGAAGTAATAGCTTTCGAGCAGCTTGTATGCCGAATATCTTTTTAAAGGAGTTCTCTAAGATAAAAGATTGATCTCTAGACAAACCATATCATAAAGCTATAACTCTCTAACAAAAGTTATGTTTTAAGTACATGTTCTTTTTATATGCATGCAAATAGTCTGGTCCCAAGTCAGGACTTATTATATGAGCTGATTTACAGAATTGCCAATTACTGATCCATTTTGAATAATTTTACTACCAAAATATTGGTCTCAATGAAATGGTTCTAATGAATTCAAAATCGTCAAAATCCAATTACAGAGTCCCAAGATAATTAAAATTTTGTATGATTTTACTATTAATCTTTATTATATAAACAATCATTTAATGAATTAGTTTTATATATAAAGTTATATATAAAACCAATTCATTAAATAATTGTCTACATAATAAAAATTAATAGTAAAATTATACAAAATTTTAATTATCTTGGAACTCTGTGATTGGATTTTGACAATTTTGGATTCATTAGAACCATCTCATTGAGACCAATATTTTGGTGGTAAAATTATTCAAAATGGATTAGTAAATCAAAAGTTATTGGCAATTCTA